CACAGGAGAGATGAATTCAGGAGCCAAGAGGAGGCAAAACACACAAAACCACAAGTCAGGTGAGCTGTTTGGCAGGGGCTAGGCCGGGGGTAGAGGGTCCCGGTGACACCAGTCCAGGCTGCCTGTGCCAGACAGGAGAGTTCCGCGGGAAGGCTGATGATTGGAGAGGGGAGCTCCGCTGGGGCTGGTGGGTTTGAGGGATGACACCGGACACCAGGTGTCACTGTCCTCCCGGTCTGAGTATCACCAAGCAGCCTCGCAGGCCCCAGCCCCGGAGGCACCAGCCCTGCAGGCAACAGCCCCCGGAAAGCTGGTGCCACCGCCTCCTTGCTGCCTCCTGCCCTGAGCCCACAGGCGGGCTGGCTCAGAGACCCTCATGCAACAGGCCGCTGTGAAGGTGTCAGCGGGCTGACCAGAGAGCTTGGGCTCTGAACTCCACCACAGAGCCCCGCACCCAGGGCTGAAAGGTCAGACCTGAGACCAGGACACCCGCCTTCGTGCCTGCAGAGGTGGGCGTGGCCAGGATGGCACACGCGGAGCGGCCAGGTGTGGGCACAAACTCAGAAATCAGAAACAGCCGCTGCACTGGCCAACCAGCGCCGCAGCCAGACAGCGTGCAGCCCTGTGAGCTTCGCACAGGACTCGGACGATGCTGAGAGCACAGCCTGAGGAGCGGCAGCTGGGCTGCAGGGGTGGCCGGGCCCTGGGCAGTGACTGTGCACACAGCCATCAGTCGGTCGGTCTCCCATGGAAAGGGCTGGAATGCCGGGAGCTGGTTGCGTGGGGCTCAGGGCCTGCGGGGCCCTCCCTCTGACTTGGCCCTGGCCTCACCTGGACCGGCCTAACCTTCCTTCAATGCCCTCTGTCACTGCGCCTCCTGCGGGGCTTTCCCGGCCGGATCTACGGCCCAGCGAGCTTTATGTGTCATCTTTTTCTTTCTTTCTTTCTTTTTTTTTTTTTTATGGTGAAAATGAGACTTTTACCACCACTCTCGAGAGCGGGCGCCCACTATACAGGATTGTGGTGGGGCAGGGGACAACCTGTTTACATAGCCCCTCCTCCGGCTCCTCATTGGCTGAGACTATCTGGTCACCTTTTTAAATTTGTTTTCTTTATTGATTAAGGTGTTACATGTGTGTCCTTATCACCTCATTGACCCCACCCCCCGCAGCTCATGCCCTGTGCCATTGGTTAGGCTTATATGCATGCATACAAGTCCTTTGGTTGATCTTCCATTTTTTTAAAAATATATTTTATTGATTTTTTACAGAGAGGAAGAGAGAGGGATAGAGAGTTAGAAACATCAATGAGAGAGAACCATCGACCAGCTGCCTCTTGCACATCCCCTACCGGGGATGTGCCCGCAACCAAGGTACATGCCCTTGACCAGAATCGAACTCGGGACCTTTCAGTCCGCAGGCCGATGCTCTATCCACTGAGCCAAACCAGTCTCGGCCCTTTGGTTGATCTTTCTCCCTTCCCACCACCCTCCCCTGCCTTCCCTCTGAGGTTTGATGATCTGATCGATGCTTCTCTGTCTCTGGAGCTGTTTTTGTTCATCAGTTTGTGTTGCTCATTATATTCCACAAATGAGTGAGTTCATGTGATAGTTATCTTTCTCTGCCTGGCTTATTTCACTTAGCACAATGCTCTCCAGTCCCATCCATGCTGCTGCAAATGGTAAGAGTTCCTTCTTTTTTACCACAGCATAGCATTCCATTGTGTAGATGTACCAGAGTTTTCTGATCCACTCATCTGCTGATGGGCACTTAGGCTGTTCCAAATCTTAGCTATGGTGAAGTGTGCTGCTATGAACATAGGGGTGCATATATCCTATGATATCCTGTTTTTCTAACACATTTATTTTAAAATAAAATCAACCATTAACATTGATGACCATAAGACCAGCCCCTAACGTGTAGAACAATGAGCCCTGAAAACCACAGACCATCTCCCCTTCCCCATCTCACATAGCAACACTGTCCGGCAACGCGAGCCACTGCTTCCTGTGTGGCTTCGCCAAAGCCAGTCCCAGAGCAGGGGGACCAGCCGGTCAAACCGCCCGGGGCTCAAAGCCGCACCCTGGAACCCCTCATTCTACCACTTCTCTCGGCAAACAGAAGCGGAGGCCACGACCTTCCAGAGCCGCGGGGACTCCCAGCTCCGGGCAGGGGCACTGGCAGCGCTGGGGCTGGGTGGCAGGCCGGCTCTGAGGGAGTGATCCCCTCGGGCGTCGGGGCCCTGGAGGACAGGCCTGGGGAGCGGCATGGCCAGCAGCCTGCGTGGTCGGACAGGCCTGCGCCCGCGCCTCCGTGACCCTCACACGAGGGGCCATCTTCGACACGTTGGGCAGCCTCGCTGCCTGTCCCCTCCGTGTCATCCCTGCAGCCGGAGGTCACTCCTCACGGCGACCTGAGACGCTCACACAGGCCGGCGCCCGGCAGCGAGGGCTGAGCCGCAGGACGCTCGTCCAGGAGGGAGAGGAGTGAGCTCAGACAGCCCCGCGGTCAGGGCCACACCTGTCACTGGCAGGTAACGGCTTTCTCCTCACCTGACGAAGGGAGGGGCACCGGGGCAGGTGACAGCAGTGAGACGGGGCTGGTTAGGAATGGCGGCGGCAGGGGAGGGGCCCCCAAGGTCCACCGGACAAGCTTGGATGGGTTTTCGGAGGAAGAAGGCAGTGTTTAGAGGAAGGGGGAAATGTCTGCAGGAGGTGGACCTCGGGGGCGAGCCGCCCTGTCGGTCGTGCTGCTGTCGTAGGGTCTCCTCCCCACATGGGAGCTGGGCTCCTCCCGTCGGGAGAAAGGTCCCTTGTGTTTCCCTCAGGGCTCGGTGTCAGGCCAGGGGTTGCTCCGGACGTGCCTCCTGTCCTCCCAGGAGCCCGTCCCGACCCCTCCCCACTCAGGCAGCGTGTCCCCGGCGGGCTGTGCAGAGGCTGTGCCAGCTAAGCCCGGGCTGGGAGCACCTCCGAGCTGCTCGGCTGTGGCCCATCACGTTTAGTTCCTGGAACAAAGCAAACCCCAAAACTGGAAAACTTGTTTACCTGCATCACAAGGAACAGAATCATATGGTCACTTCCTCTTTCAGGTAAGGAAATCAGGCACTGAGAGAATTCTAAGTTCACATAGCAAGTCAGAAACAGGAACAAGGATACCCATTTGATAAATGATTACTCAACATTCAACAGACACATGGCAGTGGGACCGGAGTTTGTATACATCCCGTCCCCACGACTGCCCGTCAATCTCCCTGAGGCCCAAAGAGAAAAGGCCCTGGTCACCGCAGACTGGCGACAGGATCCAGCTCAGACCCGCCTGCAGGCTGGGGCCCCTCTGAAGCTCAGAATAGAATCCCCTCTCCTGTTTCCATGCTAAATCCAATCACCCTTCGTTAAGCCTCTGTGATCTCTCTGTGCTCACAGTTCCCAGCCTGGGATGGGGTCAGGGTCACGCCTGTGAGGGGAAGGGAAGGACGGTGGCCAGCACACAGCCACCAGCAGGGATGTTTGTGTGGTCCCCGAGTTGGCACAAAGAGACCAAGTTCCCAGAAGCTGAGTGACTCACCCACGTTCAACAGTAAGCATGGTGAACCCAGATCCCACAGCCAATCTGTCTGACGCCAAAGCCAGGCCGCCTGATGAGGCTAAAATTAATTGAGATTGTCCACTAATGGTGCTTGGCGCTGACTCAATGGCAACAGGAACCCAGCTCGGAGAGGTGCAGAAGGAACTGTTGTTCAGTGCAAACAGCTCAGTTGTGACGGAGCACAAGCGTGAGAAAACTCAATAGACTACAGCTCAGGAAGAAGCAGCAGGCTGTGAGGCAGCCCCGGGCAGGGCCACGGTCAGCCCTGGTCTGGTCTAGTGTGACCTGCCCTGGGCTGCCCTGGGCTGCTCTGCTCTGGTGAGCCATCTTCATGTTTCAGCTCCAGCCAAAGGAGAACAGTCATCATCAAAAGGAGCCGAGGAGAGCCGGCTTATGTAGCCAGAACTCTCTGCCCCTGGTCCCTGACTGGTTTGCCCTCATGTAAATGAGGACTCTAAATAGTCACAGTGTGATTGGTCCAAAGGGGCCATCCTACTTGGTCAAAACGGGGCCATTCTGATTGGCTGGTGAAGATGCTGATGGCACTATAACTGTGCAGCCCAATTAGATGGGGACAGTCTCAATCCTGTTGGTTAAAGTTCAATCCCAGGAACTCCTGGCTCAGATGGCAACCTAGCATGTTGCCTGTGCTTAGCCAGCGTTCACCCTTAACTGAATTGAAAACTGTGTTTACGGATGTGTGCCCCCATCCAGCTTCACGGAAGGTCTGTGAGCTCACGGGCGGGGCGTGGGAGGGGTGATGACCTTTCCATAAGCCCGACACCCAGCTCCGGGTTCTTAATTCTGTCAACTGTGACCACTTGTTTGAAAAAGTCTCCTTCGCGCAGGTTGTCACAACCTCTTCTTGAGCAGAAGAGGCAGGTGCTGTCGCTTCTCGGCCGGCCGCGCCGGCACACCTCTGTGAGTGTCTGCCGCCCCGGTGTGTCCCGAAGGCTGTGAGGACTCGGTGCTGCAGGGGGCGCCCTGGGGACGTCCAGAGGGCCAGGCTGCTCCTCTCCGCCGCGCCGACCGGTCCGGCAGCAGCTCCCCCGGGCCAGGGTCAGGGCCCCGCGCAGCCTGTCCGGCTCGGTCTCCGCCGCCTGAGTGGGCGTCCCGCGCTGTGCCCCGCGGCTCCCGGCGCCCGCTCGGCAGCGCCGGGTCTAAAGCTGAGCCCGGGTGCAGGGCTTCCGGCTGGGGAGCGGCTGGCCGGCACCTCTGCTCCTCCGTCCGCGGTCAGATGAAGCGTGGCCTCCCCCCCCCCCCCGCGCCCGCGCCCGCGCCCGCCCCCGCGCGACGCCACCCACCCGGGGCGAAGGCCGGAGCCCCAGGGGCGGGTCAGGACACCACTCCGCGTCCTCCCCTCCCTCCCGCTGCTCCTCCTCCTCCTCCTCCTCCTCCTCCTCCTCCTCCTCCTCCTCGCGGCCACTGGCTGCACCTCCGCGGCCTGCACAATAGAGGCTCCGCCTCCCTCTGCGCTGCTCGCAGTCCCTCCGCATCGGGCGGTCCTCGCCCCAGGTTCCCAGCAGCCCGCGCTGGGCCACCCCGGGCTCCCTGCCGCTGCCCGAGCTCCGCCCGGCGCTGCCCGACCCAGCCTCCCGCCTGAGGACGCCGTCACCTCCACTTCCCTGCGTCCAGGGCCGCTCGCACCCACCCGGACGGAGATGACCCGGGTCCCGGGGGCGCCCCGGCCACGCGCGCTCACCTGCACCCGGCCGGGGAAGGCGCTCTGAGCTCCGCCTGACCAGCCGTCCCCTGGCACAGCCGCTGCGGGACCCAGCCCCAGCCGATCCGGCCCAGCCCCTCTGTCTCGCCCTCATGGCCCAGCCTCTGCTGCTGGCTCTCTGGCTGGCTCTGGGAGTGGCCCTCAGTGTGGCCGCTGTGACCCCCGCAGGCACCAGCGAGCCCCCTACCGCGCCGACCGTGGCCCCCACGGAGGCCGAGACCCTGCAGAGCGAGGCCGACAACCAGGAGAACGTCCTGTCTCAGGTAGGCGCCGTATGGCCACCTGCCTGCCCCGCCAGGTGGGCCACGGCCGGCGGGAGGGCACCGGTGTCTGGTGGCAGACTGTTTGCTTAGGGCAGGCGTCCTCAAACTTTTTAAAGTGGGGGCCAGATCACGGTCCCTCAGAGAGCTGGAGGGCCGGACTATATGAACTACTAATTCCTACTGTAACACCTCGGCTGCGCTCACTGCCCAAAAAACCTGGCGGGCCGGGTCAGACTCCTCTGCGGGCCGCATGTGACCCGCGGGCCGTAGTTTGAAGACCCCTGGAGGGGAAGGGACAGGGTCTTCCAGGCGAAGGGACCGGGAGGAGAGGGTGGGGAGGAATGGGAGGAGACCCTCTGGCCTGCAGGCTGTCTGTGGAAACGGCAGGGGCGGATGGCGGGACCCCTGGGAGATGTCTCCCACCAGAGTGAGAGGCCCGGAGAAGACGGTGGATGTGGGCAGTAAAGGATTGTCCTTGTTTGAGGGCTCAGTCCCCCGCCCTAGTCCCAGTTTTCAGCTAAAGACCATCAGGCGCTGATGGTTAGAAGGGGGAGGGGTGGACAGGGCCGGTTCGGAGTCTCAGTCAGACCCCTCTCCTGGGGGGCTCTCCGGGCTGTTTATCCCATGACCTGTGGCAGCGGCTGCCGAGGAAGGACCCCGAGGAAGGACTCCAAAGCCCTGCCCAGGCTCTCACCATCTCCGGGCCCTCCCCGCATAACATGCTAACACTGCCCCGAGCCCGCCCACAGCCTCTGGAAGCGCCTGGCATCGGGGTCCTGTGGGGCCATGGGCAAAGCTTCCTGAGAGCCGAGCCTCTGGAGCAGTGGTTCCCCTCCTTTCTCATGCGGCGGCCCTTCAGTTCGGCTCCTCATGTCATGGTGACCCCCAACCATAACGTTACTTCTGTTGCTACTTCGTAACTGTAACTCTGCTCCTGTTGTGAATCGTAATGTAAATACCTGTGTTTTCTGATCGTCTTAGGAGATCCTGCTAGCGATTCTCAACCTGTGAGGTAGCAACGAAAGTAATGTTATGGCTGGGGTCACCACAACCTGAGGAGCCGTATGGAAGGGTCGCGGCCTTAGGAAGGCTGAGAACCGCTGCTCTGGAGGAAGGCTGCAGGGGGCTCCGTGTGGGTCAGGGAGGGAGCGGAGCAGAGCTTCAGAGGCGGGAGGCCAGCCGCATCAGACACCTCTAACTACAAGCCGCCGTCCGCTGCGCTTGATAACAGCCCTGAAAAAAATGAGCGTTAGCAGAAACCCAGACTCCGCAAGGAAAACATGGCCAGCCGTTCCCCACCCAGCAGCCAGCGAGGCTCCCCACAATCTCCTGGCCTCCAGCAGGTCACGGGCCGGACGGAAGGAGCCCCTCTCGCTGTCCAGAAAGGGAGGCTGTGCGGGTGCGGGTGCGGGTGCGGGTGCGGGTGCGGGTGCGGGTGCGGGTGCGGGTGTGGGTGCGGGTGTGGATGTGGGTGCGGGGCCTGCCGGAGAGCAGCTGGGAGAAGCATGGCCCCCAGGGGACCCCCAGAAGCTGCCCTGCGAGCGCAGGCTGAGGACACGGCCCGCCTCCTCGGAGCAGAGGGTGCCGGGCGTCTGAGCTTTGCCTGGACTCTGGGTCCAGAAGCCGCTCTAGGAGCCAACTCACTCCTCACACGGAGCAGTCCTCACCGCCTTCTCCAACCCGAACCCACGCTTAGGGGCCCAGCTCAATCGCCCCCTCCTCGGTGCGCTGTGGGCTGCAGTCCAGCGCAAGCTCACCCCCTGCTGGGCACTGGGCGCACCCTCTCCCTCTGCACTCCGCCTGGCGCATGGGCACCCAGAGCAGTCCCCGGGGCGCCTGGGAGCGGAGGGGGTAAGTGGTGACAGGAAGGAGCAGCTTCAGGTCCGATGTGGGCAGTAGCTCAGCAGGCACCTCCTTTCCCTCCTCGCTCTAACCTGGGCTCCCGCTGGGCAGGGCTGCTGGGAGGACACTGGGGCTCACTGGTCTTTCCTTAAAATGATGAAAGGCCGAGGCCTGAGACACGCCGCTTCCTCGGACAAGAGCTGGCGGCCGCGGTGCCTTCCAGACAACGACGCGGTCAGCAGGTGGTCTTGTGATGACCGTGGGCGGTCAGGTGTCTGAGGTCTCTGGCTCAGAGGCCTGTGTCCACATGCCCTGCCATCCTCTCTCTGTCTGTCCAGCTGCTGGGCGACTATGACAAGGTCAAGGCTGTGTCCGAGGGCTCCGACTGCCAGTGCAAATGCGTGGTGAGACCCATGGGCCACGACGCCTGCAAGAGGGTCAACGCCGGGGCCTCCAGGAAGGAGGACTTCTACACCGTGGAGACCATCACCTCGGGCCCGTCCTGCAAGTGCGCCTGCGTCGCTCCGCCCTCCGCCCTCAACCCCTGCGAGGGGGACTTCAGGCTCCAGAAGCTCCGGGAGGCCGACAGCCGCGACTTGAAGGTGGGCCTGGTGGGGCGATGCCGTGGGTGAGGTGCCGCGGAGCCCCCGAGTCACCAGCCTGGGGACGCAGGCCTCTGAGTGAGGGACCTGCGTCAGCCTTTGCACAGTGGTCACTTTCAGCCCCGACACCCACGGGAGCTGGTGAGAGCCAAGTCCGCCCATGTTGCCAGTGGAGCCGGAGGCCACCTTGGGGGCAGCTGCCAGGCCCCACGGCCTAAAGCATGTGCCCGCAGCCCACCGGGCGGCTCCGTCCGGCTCCTGGCCACGCGCGCGGTGGGAGGAGCTGGGTTTAGGAGTCAGACAACGGGTCCGTCATCATCGGCACCACTTGCATCGTCGACTCAGGTCACCTGCTTGTCTGGCCCCTGAATGCACAGCGTGCCACCTCAGAGCTGGGTCACCAGGCTCGGTGCGAAGAGAACACGCTGCCCTCAGGGCCCTCAGTGGGCCAGCAGGTGCCCCCGTGCAGTGTGCCAGGGCACAAGCACAGGTCCTGAGGCTCCAGCCACCCCCTGGGTGTCCACAGAACCCCCGGCAGGTGCTGTGCTGACAGACAGGACTGACAACCTCGGAGGAAAGACAGATGATGGAGACTCACCAGAGCCCCAGCAGGCGGGTACACTCACCCACGGTGTCTGCTGCGTGTATGCCAAGACAAATGCCCCCTCTGAGGCCACCTCTCAGTCCCTGGGACTTCCCTGCCGGGCTCACCCTGGTGTTCTGGCCTAGACTAACCGCCCTGTTCCGCAGCTCGCCACCATCATAGACATGCTGGAGGGCGCGTTCTACGGCCTGGACCTCCTGAAGCTGCATTCGGTCACCACCAAGCTGGTGGGGCGAGTGGACAAACTGGAGGAGGTAAGGAGCATCCTGAGAGGTAAGGGTCTCCACGTCTTTCTCCTGATCAAGCCCCAGAGTGTATCCAACCTCCCCGTGTTCCGACAGAGGGCACATCGCTGTGCCATGTGGCTACAGTGCAGGGCCTGCTGCCCCAAGCACCAGGGTCCCGGTCTCAGCCAGCACCTGGCCCGTCAGCCGTCTGCTTGGGGAGCAGCTGGTCTCGGCAGCTGGCGGCTCCGCCCAGCCGCTGCCATCTCAGCTGTGGTCAGAGGGACGGGCCTCGTCCTGGCTGTGCTGACAGTCTGAACACCGCTGCGCCGGGGCTGGAGGCAGCTGCCAGGGGTGCTGTCCTGTCCCTGCCCCCCGGGCCTGGGGGGCTGGAGTGGGGAGAGCAGACTGAGCTACCAGCCTCCCCCGGGGCCCAGGGCCCCACGCTGGCTCCCGTCGCTCCCACAAGGAAGCCTCGGTCCCTTCACCCAGGCCCCACCTGCTCCCGGAGGGCCCTGGAGGGGGCTCGGGTGCCCACCTCTCCCTGCCCCGAGGGCCCTCCCTCCGCCTCGCCCACAGCTGCCAAGCTGCTGCCCCATCGTTGTCCTACCCAGGCCCGGGGAGAAGGCGGGGCTGTCACCACCCCTGCCTTCCCTTCGGCAAAGTCGGAAGCCTGAGTAAGGACAGGCCATTTGTATGCAAAAGCCACTGCAAACAGGTTGGGGGTGCAAATTGGATGGGGCAGGGTCTCTGGGAATCAGGAGGGAGCAAACAGATATTGTCCCTGCCAGTCAGCTCTGCAATCAGAGAGGTCCCAGCACAGCAACAATTATCTCTGAGAGCACCTCCATCTGGGTGAAAGCTGCCCCAAGTTCCTACCCTGATGCCTGACAGTCCAGTTCCTCCCTATGTCTGTCTGGGCCCCCAAAGCCACTGCTCTGCACCGGAGCTCAGAGCAAGCAGGCCCTTTAAGAAGAACACCTGGAACTCCAGCAATCTCCTTGTCACTGAACCCCAACCCCCTCTGGCTTTTACAGCCCAAAGTTGTAGGAACTTCTCTTCCCAGCTCTGGGAGCCTGGGCTGGGGTCTGGTATGGGGCTGAGACCCCTTGCTCCTCACAGGCGCCTCCTCAGAGACAATCTCCCTCCTGATGAAAAAAAAAAAAAAAAAAATGCCACATGTGGGTGCTGGTCCAGCCCATTCTGTGCCTCCTCCCAGTCTCCGTGAGCTTTCTTTAGTTTTCTAGGCGTAGGACTGCCATCAGCCAGGTTTCAGGCAGTTCTGAATGCTGGTGGTTCTGTGTTTTAGTTGTAATTTTGACGTAGTTGTGGGAAGCGGCGAGGATAGGCGTTGACCTATGCCGCCATCTTGGTTCTTCCTCTGACACTTGTTTGAAAAGATCCTCAGGCAAACCACCTCCTCGCTGGGGTCTCCATGTCCCCTTCTTGCAAATAAAGGTTAGGCTTGAGCTGTGGGGTCCGGGCCAGCTCTGACCTCTATGAAAACTCAGCCGCTCGGTGTGCCCACTCCATGAACTCGCTGACTCCCCGTGATGGCCACAGGGAAGCGCAGGGCTTCCTCACTCACCGTGGATGCTGGCCCGGCAGCAGCAGTGGGATGGCCCGGCAGCAGCAGCTGCACATCCCCTCCAGGATCTGCTCTCCTCATGGTGGCCCTTGGCCACCCCACTGTGTCAGGAGTGACCCCCTATCCCCCCAGAGGTACATGCCTCCCCACCCTCCACACACACACACACACACACACACACACACACACACCATGAGATGGCTCACCTGGGCCTGAAGCAAGATCTCTTTCTCACGGCTCTTGTCTGCACAGTGAGTTCTGTGCAGTCAGAGGCTGCCCTGGGGACTCGGGCATGCATGCCGCATGGCTGGCCCTGCAGGAGCCCATCAGGGGTCTGTGGCCTCGCCCTGGGCGCCTGGCGTCCCCTGAGAACATGGCCGCATGGCCAGGCCGAGTATGTGTGTCAGAGAGGAAGCAAGTCTGGCTCCCCTCCCTCTCCCTGCGGCTGCCTCCCGCACACGGCCCAGAGGACAGAGCACTGGGCAGTTCAGAGGCTCCTGGGAGCCTTAGAAGGGGCCGGAGCAAGACAAAGTGGTCCTGAGTGCAGCTCATGGCTCTCAACTGAGAGGAGAAAGGGCACCTGGGAGCCTGCCCACAGCTGGCCGTGACCCAAACCGCAGCCCACCCCCGGGGAAGTGCCCTGCTGCCTGGTCCATGCCCCTCCTGGGCCCTGGATGTGGGGCTTGGGCTGGGGGCCCAGCTGTTCCTCAGCTCTGGGCTGGACACACGCAGGCCCAACGGCTCCTCGGCCGTGTCCAGCCTGCCTGGCCGGTCTGTGCTCTGCGCGGATGGCGGCTCGTCTTCAGCGCAGTAACGGACCCTCTTTTTAAATGTTTTCTCAGGAAGTTTCTAAAAACCTCACCAAGGAAAACGAGCAAACCAGAGCGGACGCGGGAGGAGTCCGCGCGGAGGCGAAGGAGCGAGGAGGCGGGGAGAACTGCTCCCAGGCGGCGGCCGGGCTCCCGGGGGCGGGGGCAGGCCCGGCCCTGCAGAGGGACGAGGCCGCCTACGCCCACCCCGAGGTACGCGCCTCCCCGCAGGGCGGGCACCGCACCGAGGGACCCTCCTGCCACAGGCACCTGTGCGGCTCGGGGTGGGCTAGCCATTTGCTCAGTGCAGAGGCCAGGGAGGGCTGCGGGCCGTGCGGGTGCCGGACTCGCGGGCGCAGCGGGCAGGTGAGGAGACAGAGCAGGAGCTCCCAGGCGCCCTGGCTTGGAGGGGCGTGTCCCTGCCGCCGTCCTCGTCCTCGCGGGAAATGGACTCTGTCTGATGCAATTTGATTGACGCCCAACGACCCACTTGCTTCAAAGTTCCTCCCATTTGCGACCGGTCTGCTCCGCGTTATGTGCTGGGTGACCCGCGGTGCCCGGACACAGCTAATGCGGAGCTCACTGGGAGGGCGGAGGGGCAGCGGGAGCGAGTGCGGACGCCACCAGGGGCCGGGGCAGCGGCGGGAGGAGCCGTGAGGACCACCTCACAGGCTGTCCTGGGGCCCCGGGCGGTGGACGGCAGGGCCCCCAGCGGCCAGGCCGGGCGTGCGGGCGGGGCTGCGGCTGCTGGCACCTGGGAGGGCTGCGTTCCCCGGGGCCTGGCAAGTGCAGGCAGCACAGCCTGTCTAGGGGTGCCGGGTGGACAGTGCCATTTGGGGAACTGGGCTCGGAGGGCAGGACAGCAGGCAGCTTGGCCCTGCGGACAGTATGGCGCCTGCACCCTGCCCAGCACGTGACTCAGAACCAACCAGTTCCCGACCAGAGAACAGGGCGAGGGAGGCCTCTAGCTCCTGGCTGTGCCCACGATGACTGCTCTGAGGCTTTGGGGGAATCATAGTCCTTCAGACACAGACACACACACACACACACAGACAACACAGAGACACACACACACACAGAGAGACACACACACACAGGCACACACACACAGAGACACACACACACACAGAGACACAGACACACACACAGGCACACAGACACAGACACACACACACAGACACACACACACACACACACAGAGACACACACACAGAGACACACACACACAGGCACACACACACAGAGACACACACAGGCACACACACAGAGACACACACACAGACACATACACACACACACAGAGACACACACAGAGACACACACACACAGACAACACAGAGACACACACACACAGAGACACACACACACAGAGACACACACACAGAGACAACACAGAGACACACACACACAGACACACACACAGGCACACACACAGAGACACACACACAGGCACACACACACAGAGACACACAGACACACACACAGACACACACACACAGTCACACACACAGAGAGACACACACACAGAGAGACACACACACAACACAGAGACACACACACAGAGACACACACACAGACACACACACAGAGACACACACACAGAGACACACACACAGGCACACACACACAGAGACACACAGACACAGACACACACACACAGTCACACACACAGAGAGACACACACACAGGCACACACACAGAGACACACACACAGGCACACACACAGAGACACACACACAGAGACACACACACAGGCACACACACAGAGACACACACAGGCACACACAGAGGCACACACACAGACACACACACACACACACACACACGTCGGGGTGTCCCATGTGCTGCCTGCTGGGCCACTGGAGCAGGTCTGAGCTCAAACCCACCGGGGTGGACGTTTGGGCTGGAAGAGAAGCTGGGGGCGCCTCCGTGGCCCTGGGCACCCCCTGCTGCCAGCGCGGGCGGCTGCTGCCCCTGGCCCTGCCCCGGCGGCCCGGCTGAGCTCGCCGCGGTCTCGCTGACGCTCCGTGTGCTGTGCTGTGAACCAGCTCGGGTTTCCTGAGGGCAGACAGAGAACCAGCCAGACTCCCATCCCTCCTTGCTCAGCAGAGGCCAGTCCCTCCGAGGCCCAGTCATCACTGCAGGCAGCACAGTCCACCCGGCCCGGCTGCGGGGACAGAGCCAGGACCCGAGGGGACCAGCGAGGGGGGCCCTGGGCTCGTCCTCTCGTACCCTCCTCCCCCCGTCCATGAGCCTGGGGGGGCCAAGGCACCCAGGTTCTTGTAGCCCATTCCCAGCTTCTCAGGACCGTGGTGTGGGCGGCCGTCCGGAGACCTCTCGCCAAGAAGGTCGTGGCCTGGAGGTGGTGAGGGCTCTGGGCGCGGGCGGGAGAGGGACAGCCAGGCGCCAGGAATGAAATCACATGCAGAGTCTTGGGTTAACGGAACGAGGGAGCCACTGCGGCCGAGAGCCGTGCCAGGAAGGCAGGGAATGACACACGTTCTGGCTGGGCAGTGCGAGGTCCTCTTCCCGGTGCTCCCAGCAGGCGCCGCGCCCTGCCCAGCCCCGCCCTCAGAACCCAGAACTAAAGCCAGCTCCGAGGGCTGCCGGGCGATGAGGCTTTGAGATACAGGGGCACCGGGCCCAGAGGTACGGGGATGGCCCTTGCACCTCTGGTCCTCCTGACTCCCAAGTCACCTTGACAGCCAGAAGCAGGAAGTGGGGGCAGCAGGAGGGGGCAGGCCCTCTCAGACCCCAGCCAGGGACCCCTGCCTTCCAGCACTTGGTCTCCACTTGCTGCCAGCAGCCAGGGTGCGTGTCTGTGGCCGGGAGGGTCAGCGGAGAGGCCAGCTGCCCCTCCCGGCGGTGGCCCCGCAGCAGCTCAGGGCCTGGGCTTTGTTTCCAGGCGGCTCTGCTCTTGGTGATTTCACTGGTGCCCGGCCTGACGGGCCTCCTCCTGGGAGGGGCCTTTTGGGGCTTCAGTGGCTGAGAGCTGGGCTGGGCCACACCCCGAGGCCCCCTCCACCTCCTGGATGGGCCCCTGCCCTCGGGAGCTGCAGCCTTGGGGGCCTGGTTTTGAGCCGTGTGCCTGTCCTGGGGCCATGTGCCTGTCTCCTCGTCCGCAGTGGGCGAAGCTCCGTCCTCCGAGGAGCCACAGGCATGGAGAAGGAGGCCTGGCTCTGAGATGAAAGTTGAGTCTGTCCTTGCTGTTGCCTGGGCTCCATGCTGCCCCACCTGACCTGTCGCTGTCCCTGAGCCTGACCATGGCCTGGCCACTGTATCCCTGAGCCTGCCCCTGAGCCTGACCGTGGCCTGACCGCTGTCCCTGAGCCTGACCGTGGCCTGGCCGCTGTGTCCCTGAGCCTGACTGTGGCCTGGCCTGGCCCCTGTGTCCCTGAGCCTGACTGTGGCCTGGCCTGGCCCCTGTGTCCCTGAGCCTGCCTCTGAGCCTGACTGTGGCCTGGCCGCTGTGTCCCTGAGCCTGACTGTGGCCTGGCCTGGCCGCTGTGTCCCTGAGCCTGACTGTGGCCTGGCCTGGCCGCTGTCCCTGAGCCTGACCGTGGCCTGGCCGCTGTCCCTGAGCCTGACCGTGGCCTGGCCTGGCCGCTGTCCCTGAGCCTGACCGTGGCCTGGCCTGGCCGCTGTGCCCCTGAGCCTGACTGTGGCCTGGCCGCTGTCCCTGAGCCTGACCGTGGCCTGGCCGCTGTCCCTGAGCCTGACCGTGGCCTGGCCTGGCCGCTGTCCCTGAGCCTGACCGTGGCCTGGCCGCTGTCCCTGAGCCTGACCGTGGCCTGGCCGCTGTGCCCCTGAGCCTGACTGTGGCTGGCCCCCTCTCTCTGAGGAGCAGTATGAAGAGGAGTTCCTGCGGGAGGAGACCGTGTCCCAGCACGTCAACGCCATCGAGCTCCTGCGGACGCAGCCCCTGGCTCCGCCCGAGCTGGTGCGGCCGCGGCAGCCAGTCCAGAGGCAGGTGTCCCTGCGGGGCCGGCCGGCCTCCAAGCCTGCCGTCATCCGGGGCATCACCTTCTACAAAGCCCAGGACCCCGAGGACGAGAACGGCATCGAAGAGCAGCGTGAGTGGGCCAGCAGGCCTGGCTGGGCGGGCGCCGGGCTGTGCGGCCTGAGCCGCCTGTTCGAGAAGCCATGTCCTCTGGTGCGGCCAGGCCCTGCCCTCACAGTTCAGAGACCACGTGGGGTGCGGAGTCGCTCCCCTGCCTGCCCCTTCCCGGCCCGGCCTCCTGCCGGACACGCGCACTCCCACCTCTGACTCCCGAAGCCCTGGCTGCCCCCCACTCCCCTCCCGCCGCCCTCCCCTCCCCACACCCCAAAGGGCCCAGTCCGAGCTCATCCCCAGCCCTGCTCACCCAGTTGCTGCCATAATCCTTTTGCCCATCTTTAGCTTGTCTTTTTATCGTTGGTTTGGGAGGCTGGGTGTTTGAGGACACCATCTTGTCAGTCACGTGAGCTGCCAGGCCGTCATGCTGCCTGCGGCTGCACCTCGGTGCCTGGATGAACAGAGGCTCACGGCTCACCCACCAACTCCGTGGAGATCTGCCTCCACGTTCCTTCTCCACTCGCACCCTGCGCCTCCCCTTTCCCCAGGATCACGGCTGAAGTCCACACGCAGCCCCCCAGCCCCCACCAGCTCCCACGTCCCTCTGCCCTCCTCCTGCTGCCCCCCCGAACCCGCCTCTTTGTCTGCATCAGCCTCCAGGCATGTTCTGGCCCCGGGGCCTTCGCACAGCGGCTGTTCCCCCAGAGCTCACTTCCCCGTGTCTGCTCCGCTCCCTCGTGTCCCCAGGCCTCTGCTCATCTCCCTCCAGCGAGCAGTGCTGACCACTGTACCCCCCACCCAGGCCCACCAGCTTCCCTCCAGACACACACGGCACCGCCCGGGCTGCTGTCGGTGTCCCCCCTGGGCGGCTGAGGGAGCAAGGCCTTCCTCTGCTCACCGTTGTCTGTGCCGCAAACACGGATGAGTGGGCCATGGGTCCGGCAGGGCCTTCACTTTCTGTCCTCCACCCCCACCGCCCGCCTTCCTCGGAGGGCCCATGCCTGACTCGGTGCTCCTGTCCTGCCCCGGCCGTTCTCCGGGTCACGCGAGCCTGTTTGCCCCCCAGAGGACCCGTTCTCCGGCGGGGACAGCGGTGTGGACTTGCTGATCGAGGACCAGCTGCTGAGACACAACAGCCTGCTGCCCACTGAGCCCCGCAGGCCGGCAGCCGCCCACCACGGCACGGCTGCACCCGCCGGGGTGTCCGCGCCGCGGCCTCAGGCCTCCCCCTCGGCCCCCCGTGTCCCTGCTGCCTCCGCCGAGCCGGTCCCCACGCCACAGCCAGCCACCGTCCCTCCAGCCCCCGGGGGGGCCCCGCCCCCCACCGTGGCCCCCACGGCCACCCCCTCTCCTCCGGCCCCAGCTTCCCTGCCAGCGGCTCCTGGGGACACACGCCCGTCCACAGTGCCCCCCACCGCGGCCGGCACAGGCTCCCCGGGGAAGGCCGCCCCGGCCGCGGGCACCGCGGGCCCCAGCGCGCTCCCGGAGGACGACATCCGGAACGTCATAGGTGAGCGCCGCCTGCCGGCCGGCCGCTCAGCGTGCGAGCCGACCTGCCCTTGGCTGGCCCGGCCTCCCCCCAGGTCCCAGAGCAGGTGCACGGAGCCAGCGGGGCCGGGGCCGGCTGCCCGGTCTGCAGACGTGCGCCCGCGCTTCCTGCCCTGCGTGGGTGCCCTGGGTCCGGGGAGGAGTTGGCTGAGGCCACCGGGGAGGGCACAGTGGGGCCGGGAGGGCTTCCTTTTCTTCCTGCCGTGGGGGCTGCCCCTCCGCATGGACAGTGGGAGGCCGTGTCCTGCTCGACTTTGGCCGGGATCCGAGGGGCCACGGCCGCCCGGCCGGGCAGCTCGTGCCCCGGGCAGTCTCCTGCTGTGGGGGAGCGTGCCGGACCTTCCGCACCGGTCACCTTGCGGGACAGTCTGCCGGGAAACAGGAACCTGCCCCTGGGCCTCCGCTGTGGCTGCAGCCCCTCCCCTCGCCGCCGTCCCCGTCCCCCCGCCGGCCTCTGCCCGGCCCGCCCTGGGTGCTGCCACTAGTGGGTTTTCTGGTCTGACCCCAACACGGAGCCGCAGGGAGCGGGGGGAGGGGACCTTCTCTCCGGTGGGGCAGCGCCCTGTCCAACCAGAGGGACGGCCTGCGGCCTCGGAGCCGCCTGCCTCCTGCATCTTGGGTTCCTTTAACCTGAGGGGCGGGCGCCGGTTCCTGCAGGTCTGGTTCCCACAGTCACCGCTCACTGCCCATCGCTGTCGAGTGCCCGTCCCCGTGTGACATTCCCTTTCCAGAACTTTCCCTGCAGGCCCAGCCTGTGCCTGCTGCAGCGACCGCCGGGCCAAGGACCCAGTGCCTCTCAGGTGGCCGCCATCTGGCGGAGCGGCTCGGCCCCTGGGTGACGAGGTGGCAGTTGGGATTTGGGGCTGAGCCGTGTGGCTACTTTGAAAGGAACCTCCTATCCCACGGTGCCCAGACCGGATGCTGTGACCCCCCAAAAGGCCGACCCTTGTCCTCAGGGAAACTGAAACAGAGACATTCCAGAACAAACGGTCAGAGCCGACCGCTGGCTGGTTAACGAGCGCAGTGGGGGCCGCCGGCGCCTCGGACGGCACTTCCCCCCGCAGCCGGGCTGCGTGAGCGACGGGGAGGTTGGCCGTCCTGGGTGAGCCGTCGGGAGGAGCTGGACAGTCGGCAGGGTGGCCTGGGTCTCACAGGCTGGGAAACACCATGGTCAGGATCTGGGGGAGAAGGACTCCCCACCAAGCACCAACCTGGGGAGGGCGGTATGCCCTGGCGGGCACCCAGACCAGAAATGCCCTAGTCCAGTGCAAGCCGCGGTTTGCCACTCTGTTGACTAATGAGTTTGCCAACCATTGCCTTAGGGAAAAACACTTACAAAAACATTTTATTATTTTTTTAAATAAATCTTTATTGTTCAGATTATTACAAATGTGATCCTCTTCCCCCCCTCAATTGCTCCCCTTCACCAGGTTCCCACCCCACCCTCTGTCCTTTCCCCATCCCCCATTGTCCTCATCCATAGGTGCACAGTTTTTGTTCAGTCTCTTCCCGCACCCCCACTCCCCTTTTCCCTGAGAATCGTCAGTCCACTCCCCTTCCATACCTCTGATTCTATTATATTCACCAGTTAATATTGTTCATCAGATTTTTTAATCCCCTTGGTTTTTAGATTCACTTGTTGATAGCTACGTATTTGTTGATCATAATTTTTATCTTTATCTTCTTCCTCTTCCTAAATAACCTTCTTCAGCAATTCATATAATTCTGGTTTGGTGGTGATGAACTCTTTTAGCTTTTTTTTATTTGTGAAGCTCTTTATCTGTCCTTTGATTCTGAGTGATAGCTTTGCTGGGTAGATTATTTTTGGCTGTAGGTTCTTGTTATTCATCACCTTGAATATTTCTTGCCATTCCCGTCTGGCCTGCATGGTTTCTGTTGAGAAATCAGCTGACAATCTTATGGGTGCTCCTTTATAGGTCACTACCTGCTTTTCTCTTGCTGCTTTTAATATTCTCTCTTTGTCTGTTGCTCTTGGAATTTTAATTATGATATGTCTTGGTGTGGTCCTCCTTGGATTCCTTTTGTTTGGGGTTCTGCGGGCTTCCTGGACTTGTAAGTCTATTTCTTTCCCCAGGTGGGGGAAGTTTTCTGTCACTATTTCTTCTAGTACTCCTTCGGTATCTTGCTCTCTCTCTTCTGGAATCCACATAATTCTGATGTTGGTTCGCTTGAAATTGTCCCAGAAGTTTCTTACACTATCTTCAACTTTCTGGATTCTCTTATCTTCTCCCTTCTGCAGAGGAGTGTCCTCTGGCTCTTTGTGTTCTAAATCTTTGTCTTGATTCTTGCAATCTTCCAGTCTGTTTTTAGGACTTTGTATAATATTTTTTATTTCAGACAATATTTTCTTCATTTATTGTTGATCCCTTATTATTTCTAGTTGCTCCCTTTTCATATCCTCATAGGTCTCATTTATTTTATCGGCCTTTTTTAGGATATTGTTGAATAACCTTATAACTGTAGTTTTGAACTCAATGTCCAATCTTTTCTTTTCCTCCATCTCCTTCCTTTGTGTCCTTCTTCTTGTCTGCATTTTAGTTGTTTCCCTGATTTGGTGGAATAGCTTTGTGTGCTAGGTGTTCTGGTAGAGCCCAGTAGCACAGCCTTCCCAGTTACCTGCGGTGGACAGTCTTGGTGTAGCCCTTTGTGGGCTGTGTGTGCAGTCTTGTTGTTAAGCCTTGCTTATTGTTGGTATCACTGGGAAGCGTTGATCTCCAAGCCAATCGGCTGTGAGGATCAGCAGTGTCTCAGCTAGGAGGGTTTCCGTACTCTGCTTGAATAGGGCGGGGTCTCAGGGTGGCGCAGACAATCTTTGGTTCCCTGTCAGTCTCGCCTTAGAAAAGTCCTTCACAGTTCCTGAGGTTCAGTGTGCCTTCTCTCTCCTTCCCAGATGGCAGAGCCTCCTCTCAGCTAGCCGTCTGGCGCTTCAGGGCAATTCCTCCCGTTTTTCAGTTCTAAATTCAAATTTGTTGTGGTAGGCTGCATTCGGGTGTCTACCCTATGCCGCCATCTTGGTTTCTCTCTACAAAAACATTTTAATAATGTACTAATGTCTTTAACCTGAAGTCAAAACTTCTGGGTAAGGGTAATGCCTTACACAGTGGTCTGCAAACTCATTTGTCAACAGAGCGGCAAACCGCAGCCCTCGGGCCACATGTGGCTGGCAAGCCACAGTTTGCCGACCACGGTCCTAGTCGATGCCCAGTCCTCTGCCCAGCAGCTCCCCTGCCCTGGCTCCCCTGGGCAGCGGCACGGCCCTCCCTGGAGGGGGTTCACCAGGCACAGGACACCTGGCTTCCCCGCAGCCGCTGGGCCGGCGTCGGGAGGCAGTGCTTCCCACCGACCGTCCATTTCGTTGTCGAGCTGATGAGCTCGGCGGGTGGCCCTGCTGATGGTTTCACGGGGACAGGGTCCCCTCCACTGTCCGGCCAGGGCCTAAGCCCCTCCAGCTGCCTGCACCCAGTCCACCGTCCCCCGCTGCGGGTCCAACAGGAAACAACCACTGTCCTCTCGCAGCCTGGCTGTCCCGTCCTGACCGCTGGCAGGAGCAGAGCCACAGGACAGACTGAGTCAGCTTGGAAATAGGGGCTGGGACTGTGAGAACCGGGCTGGATGTCAGGGAGCAGCTGGGGCCCAGGCAGTGAGGTGGTCTGGCTGCCAGGCTGGCAGAGTCAGACACTGGCTCTCCCCCTGCCTTTCTCCAGCAGCTCAGACCCACGGGTGCAGCAGGACGAGCGTGTGCCCTCTGTCATCATGCGTGGTCTTGGACATTCAAGCTTTCGCTCGGCCCAGAGCCAGCATGTCCTCAGGCTGCGAGGCCTCCATTGGGCCCAGGTTGCTCCAAAGAGCTGCGTGGGGCTGCTGAGCTGCTGGCCATTGAGGCAGACTGACCTCACCGGGGCTCAGCCCTGAGCGAACGCTGCCACGCCCTGTGGAGGGCACAGGCACGAGGGTCCAGAGGGCTGGTCTCTGGGCCGAGCCTCCGGGGCAGCTCAGGGCTGTGGACGGGGTCCTGGCCCCGCCTGCTGTCCTGTCCTCTCGAGCCCCAGGCGTCGGCCTGTGCTGGGGGAGGTGCGGGGTGTGCCTGTGAGAGGATCGCCAGGCGGAGAGGCTGTGGCATCGGGAAGGGCACCGCTGGGTCCGCAGGGCCGGGCGGGGGGGAGAAGTCGGAGGCGGGCGGCGGGGGCGGGCGCGGGGCGGCCCTGGAGGCAGGCGCGCAGGCCGGAGCGGAGCGGCAGAGCCCGGGCTGGTGGCTGCGGCTGAGCCCGGAGTCCAGGCTCTGAAGGAACCGGCCGGAGGCAGGGCTGTCCCCCTCACCCACCTCCCTCCCCAGGAAGGTGCAAGGACACGCTGTCCACCATCACGGGGCCCACCACCCAGAACACGTTCGGGCGGAGCGAGGGCGCCTGGATGAAGGACCCGCTGGCCAGCGACGAGCGCATCTACGTCACCGACTCGGCCTACGGCAGCACGCTGGTGGAGTTCCGGAACCTGGACAACTTCCGGCAGGGTGCGTGCCCCCAGCCCGCAGCCACGCCCTCTGCCCACAGCCACGCCCCCTGCCCGCAGCCACACCCTCTGCCCGCAGCCACGCCCCCTGCCCGCAGCCACACCCTCTGCCCGCAGCCACGCCCTCTGCCCACAGCCACACCGCCGGGTGTGCCTGGCCGAGAGGGGCCTCTGCCCGCACATCCCCCCCCGCCTCATGCCTGGACAGGGCAGCCCCGGAGCGCACCACCCGCTCCCCCGGGGCCGGAGCGGCTCCGCCCGGGGCCAGAGCTGCGGGGCCGGGGTGGGGGTGGGGTGGGGGTGGGGTGGGGGTGGGGAGCCAGGACAGCCCGGGTGCAGACCCTCGCTGGTCCCCGCGCCCGGGCAGCGCCGCTGAGCCCCTGCCCCCGCAGGCCGCTGGAGCAACTCGTACAAGCTGCCCTACAGCTGGGCGGGCACGGGCCACGCGGTGTATGGCGGCGCCTTCTTCTACAGCCGCGCCTTCGCCCGCACCCTCATCAAGTACGACCTGCGCCGCCGCTTCGTGGCCGCCTGGGCCCTGCTGCACGACGTGGCCTACGAGGAGGCCGCGCCCCGCAGCTGGCAGGGCCGCTCCGACGTGGACTTCGCCGTGGACGAGAACGGGCTGTGGCTCATCTATCCCGCCCTGGACGAGGAGGGCCTGGGCCAGGAGGTGATCGTGCTGAGCAAGCTCAACGCCGCGGACCTGAGCACCCGGAAGGAGACGACGTGGCGCACGGGGCTGCGGCGCAGCCTGTACGGCCACTGCTTCGTCATCTGCGGCGTGCTGTACGCCGTGGACAGCCACCGCCAGCGCAACGCCAGCATCTCCTACGCCTTCGACACGCACACCAACACGCAGATCGTGCCGCGGCTGCTGTTCGAGAATGAGTATTCCCACACCACGCAGGTCGACTACAACCCCAAGGACCGGCTGCTCTACGCCTGGGACAACGGCCACCAGGTCACCTACCACGTCATCTTCGCCTACTGACCCGCCGAGCAATGTGCCCGGCCGCTGCACCTTTAGTGCATTGCACGTGTGTGTGCACTGCACCTGTGTGTGTGCGCGTGTGTGCACAAGTGTGTGTGTGAATGTGTGTGTTTACATGTGTGCACGTGTGTGTGCAGATGGGCAAGTGCTGTTCAAAAACGTGTTGTTTGTATATGTAAAGTGACAGTTTGGGTCTATTTTTTTATATGGGTTGTAGATCGACCCGCGCGTGTGTGCTGGCTCATCCTCTGCAGTTTATATTTTTGAGCAAATGAACTTCTTGGGCCAGTGACCCCCTCCCTCTGAGCCTCCGCCCTCTGGCCCCCGCTGGTGAGGCCTCCATGGCTATTGGCCAAGGCACCACAGGGAGCGAGGGAGGCAGGACGGCAGGGGCAGGAAAAGTTATGTGCTGGAGAAGTTTCAAAATCCCAGAAACTGCTTTTTTAAATAAAGAAGAGTTTAAAATGACCCCAGTGTGTTTCTGTTCGGCGCTGATGCCTGTCGGGGCTGGGCCCCCTCGGGGAGGAGGCACCCACCCCGTGGGAGCCTGTTCTTCCCGTCCGTCCCCCCACGGGGCGGGCGGGTGCTTTTGCCGAGATGCCAGCGGTGGGGCTGGTCCTGTGTTCCCCGGAGCTCGCCATCAGTCATCCCTGTCAGTCCAGAGTCCCCTCCGCACCCGACAGTCACGGTCAGCCAGGCTTCTTCCCTCTTCCCCTCAGAGGGGGCTGGTCTGAGACAAGAGGTGTGCTGCCCGCAGGCATGCCCGTCCTCCAAGCACAGACACACAGACACGGGACAGAAAGGGCCTCCTGAGGCTGTGGCAGGCGGCCCCCCATCCCCAGCCGCTCCACGCAGCATGCACAGACCTCCTGGCCCCCACCGCCCTCTCCTCCGCCCCCTCCTCCTCCCAACACCTTCTCCCCTCCTCCCTGGACACAGCCCTGGCTGTGAGGGCTCATCTCTGGTTCCTGCTCTCAGCTGGTGTGCAGCCCCTGAGCCCCTGAATCTCAAGATGGACCCTGTGGGCCTTCAGAAGCAGAGTGGTGGGCAATATTGCTAACCCCAGCAGCCACCAGCAGGCCCGCCTCCATCTGACATGTCCCTCAGCCTCCTCTCAGACAGGGCCTGCCCGGGGCTTCTCACACTCAGAGTCCATCCGATGGCTGTGCCCACCTCAGCCGACTCGGGAGGCCTGAGTCGGGCCACAGAACTCGAGGTAGTAAGTTCTGGTGCCGCCGCTGCAGATCCGCTGGCCCCGGCGTCCTCCCCAGCCTCCTCCCAGGCCACCACCACCGCCCCAGGCAGAGGCTCAGCGATGGGGCCGGGAACTGCGCTGCCTCCGCCCCCCAGTCCCCACAGCCTGCCTCAGCACTGGGCAGCGTGCCCGTGGGGGGCATGTGGTGTCAGGGCTGCCACACCAGGAAGATGCCGGGAAAAACGACATCTGTCTGTGGCTTCCTAAGCGCTCAGTAATTCAACTCAACCAAAAGCACCCGGTTAGCCTGGCGTGCGGGCTCTGGGCAGAGCCTGGGGGTCCCGTCGCAGGGTTTGGAAAGGAGGACTGGGTTCTGCTCTGGGAGCAAAGACATCCAACTTCCTGCAGGGTTTCCCTCGGCCCCTGCACCCCCGCTTGTGCCAGACTGTGCGTCCTGGGGAGGTGGATGCGCCGCCAGCTGTGGGCGCCCAGGTGGCTGTGGGGCCGGTGAGGAGGTCCAGCGTTTCCACTTCCTTCCTGCTCACACGGTGGGCAAACTCGGGGCCCTGCGGAGCATGGCGTGGAAACAGCGCAGGAGGAGCTGGGACGAGGCTCCCTCAAGTCTGAGGGAGCTGGTCAGAGCAGGAGATTCCAGCGTCTCTGGGAACCAGACAGTGGGGTGGCGTTTGCCTCTGTCCTGGAACCAGCAGCCAGCGTGCGGCGAGCTCCGCGGCCGCCCAGCGCTCCGGGAGCAGCTGCGTCTGGCAGCACCGCCTCTCAGTCTCAGGAGCCCACCCTCGCGTGGATCCGCACTGCCGGTGGGAGCGTGGCCCCTGCAAGAGACCGCATTCACACGTCTTTGAGGACAAGGGCGAGGCCCGGTTCGCCAGCCCACTTCCCTCGGGTCCATGGACACCCAGCGAGGCAGCTAAGACAGGAGAATCAGGGTGGCCTGGAGGCCCTCGGTCTCCCCGTGGGACAGCTGACGTTTGCAGACAGGCTGGGCCTGAGGACCAGTGGAGCCGTCAGCCTCGGGGCCTGCATGGGCCCCGCCTGCATCGTCCTGCAGGGCTCCGTGGCTGAATGTGGGTGAGACTCCACCAGGGCATCCTCTCCTCTGGGCCAAAGCCTTCAGTGCTGGGTCTGCAGATGATTTCGACACCAGCCTCCTCACCATCTCCTAGCCCCGCATCCACGCCTGGATGCAGCTCTGCAGGGAGAACGCGGGACCCAAAGGGCCAGCAGCAGCCCAGGAGGCGGGGAATGTCAGCCGAGCTCTGGGACTTGCGCAGAAGGGGGCCTTCAATCCTGGCAGCAGCCAGCTCTTCACCTCTGGGGGACACGCCAGGATGGGACTGAGGTCCGGGCAGCCAGGCAGCAGCCTGGGCAGAGCTTCCCCCGCGCCCTCAACACACACCTCTGAGGGGATGAGCTGTCCCAGAACCTGCCAGCACTGGCCTGGCCCCGGCAGGGGACCCGACCCTGAGCCTGTCTCACACCCACTCTCCCGGAACCTGTGCTGCATTCTTCGCTGCTGGTGCCTCCTTCCAGCTATAAAGGCCGGGCAACATGGCACGGGAGGAAGGGCGTGGCCCTGAGGCAGGACAGCTTGGCCAGCTGCCCATGTCTCCACTGGGATACGGGACAGGGAACCATGTCATGAGGCTGCACACCTCTAAGGCTCCATGCAGGTCAGTGGCCTCACTGTAGAGGCGACCGGGCGAAGGGAACACTGTGGGTACGAGGGAGATCTCACCAGATGCACAAAGAGCGGACGCAACAAAAACACAGGACGTGGCCCCAGGCCAACAATGGAGGCGCCGTCAGATAATGACAGGGTGAGAGCCAGAAGAGCCTGCTTACGGCACCACGGATGGTGCGGCCAATGCCACTTGTGGTTGTCCTTTGAGATCCCCAAATTTGTTACAACCACATCCCCTTTCAGCAGGAAGTCCGTGGGCACTGCTGTGGGACCTGGGGGCTGGGTGTGTGTGTATGGGGGTGGGGGGTAGAACCTGGGGGCTGGCTCAGGGCTGGGGGGGAGGACCTGGTCAGGGCTGGGGGGTGGTAGGACCTGGTCAGGGCTGGTGTTGTCACTCAAGCATCTGAGCTTGTACAGTAACTGTATTCATGTGTCTGGCTCACGAATGAACATGAACTCAGGAGCAGACCAGGGGGTGAGGAGCGTGCAGGGCCCACACACCAGCCTGGAAGTGGGTTCGGGAGGACGAAGGGCAGCGTGAGTGAACACGGGCGGCGGCATGCAGGGCAGAGGCCTGGGTGGGCTTGAAAGATAAGACTGAGGCCAGAGACCAGGACACAGGCTTTATTGAGAAGACCCTGCCGGGCTGCCTTCCAAGGAGAAAGAGCACACGTGCTGGGTGAACACGCCTTTGAGGGGAGGAAAAGGAAGGCTTAGGGACCTAGGGACTTAGGGATCGGGGGCTTAGGGTATTTGGCAGGTGCTGACTGGTGGTTCAATGCACAGTCCATGTCAGGTGCCTGGTTAGGAGCTCAGGAATGTCCGGCTGCAGGTGCCGGTTATGTCATCCTCCCTCCATCAGTTGGGGGAAGGGAGGATCTATCGTTTCAGGCTTTTGATAAAATTAAAAAAAATAAAAATGAAAGTCTGGGCAAGGTCAGGGAGTGAAAGTCCATCTTCCATAACTGCTTCCAGCTGAGGGGGCATCGTTAGGGTCATCTAACCGGGGTCTCAAGGATTCTGGTGTTCAGTTCTGAATTCAGTGCCAGATAGATCTCTCCCACCTTCTGGCTGGCGAATGCCTGCATTCTGTTCTTCAAGAAACTAGTGAAACAAAGCATGAGACATGGGCCAAAGAGCAAAATTAAGAGTATAGATACCAGTGGGCCTAATAGTGGAATGAGTCATGGGGTATGTGAGGAAAAAACAGGGAGTGTTTCCGTGCTGGATGAGTGGTGCAGCAGCATGATTTCCCCAAGGGACTGGTTGGTGACATCTTGAGAGCAACCCTGTTGAGTCACTTGGGACGTAAAAGCGGTCCTGAGGCGGCCACAGCATTACTTGTCTGCTTTTGCTGTTTTTCTGGAGCTGAAATACAACTGAGACCTAGATGTTATTTTTAGGGGAAAAGAGGAGGGGTCTCAGTGGCCTCACTAGTGATATGAAAGGGGAGAATAGGTTACCCTGGGAGTGAGGTTCTTGTTTTCCCAGTTTTGCCCCTTGCTGGGCATCCATGTTTCTTGTAGGTCCTGAGACAGGGTTTCAAAGTAGGCAGAGCAGTGGTTAGCTCCCTGAGGCAGTTCCAACTCCTGCTGTGATGCCAAGGGCTGTGAGGAGAGGGGTTATCTGGACTGCCCTTTTATGTCAGACACGATGAGTTCCTCAGGTGGAGAGGACGCAGGAAGAGAAGAGGCAGTGGAGGAAGGCAGTCTTTGGGCCTGAGAATGAGTGTTGGATGAAAAAGCTGTTTTGGAGCTCAGGTTCTTAGGATTTGAGCTCTCAGGGACTGGGGAGAAGACAGCTGCTGGTTAAGAGGGTCTGAAGAGAAAGAGCTTAGGCATTTTTCAATTTGAGAAAGATCAGAGAGTGAGAAGGGAAACGGCCAGCCGCCTGTGAATTAGGTTGCTGGCAGTCAGGGGGCAGAGATTAGGCAGAGCACAGGGGAAGGCAGGCTCAGGAGCTGTCTCCTCCCATGAGAGCAGGGCTAGGAGGGGCTGCGCAGGGGGGTGTGCAAGCACCGCTGCTGGTCGGTGGGCGGGACCAGTGTGTGTGATGGAGAAAAAATGGTTAAACGTACTCCCAGTCCTCCTGCACTCCGGTGGACCTGGGTAAGAGTGCTCAGTCAGAGGGACAGGTTTAGGGTTGTAAGGAGGTGGGACACATGGAGATATATGATCTGCTGGGTTGAAAGAGTCAGAAGACAGAGAAAAGGTTTGAGAGGGCAAAGAGGACTTCCAGAGGAGGATCCGGTGGTGGAACATGCGGAGTAAAGCGAGGGGTGAGAGCGGAGGTGGGGAGAGGGAAAGCCTGTTCGTAGGAATCTCTGAGGCTTGTCCGGTGGCAAAACTGAAAGGTGTGGATTGAGAGGTTCCCATGACTGGAGGGAAAGGGCCCCCGAGAAGTTGGGGAAGGAATAAGAAGCGTCTTCTTTTCTCTCAGCCAACCCGTAGAGAGAGAGATGAGAGAAGGTTCCAAAGTCGTCACCCAGAAACCTTTCCCATGGAGCAGAGCAGAGTTTCCCCGGCCAGGCACCTGCTTTCACAGAACATAGAACGTGTAGCCGAGGAGACGGGGAAACTCTGAGGCCCTTCCAGGTCAAGGGAACCAGTTGGGGGGGAGGGGCTCAGGAAGGTCCCTGAAACCTACTGGTTAGAAGGAAGTGACGAGATTCCCACGTGTCCTGGAACAGCAGGTTTTGAGAAATGTTCTGAATGGGCCAATCAACTCAGGACCATACTACCGAGCAGGCCCAGAGCAGGAGTCAGAAGCTCGGGGGCCAGGTTCTTGGACACAAATATGAAAGATGAAACGGGGAATGGAGACCAGGGTACCAGGACACAGGCTTTATTGAGAAGACCCTGCCGGGCTGCCTTCCAAGGAAAAAGAGCTGGGTGAACATGCCTTTGAGGGGAGGAGAAGGAAGGGACGGGGCTTAGGGCACTCAGCACACGCTGGTTGGTGCTTTCATGTAAGGCACATGATTAGGGACCTAGGGACTTAGGAATCGGGGCTTAGGGTATCTGGCAGGTGCTGACTGGTGGTTCAATGCACAGTCCATGTCAGGTGCCTGGTTAAGAGCTCAGGAATGTCCGGCTGCAGGTGCAGGTTATGTCATCTCCCTCCATCAGTTGGGGGAAGGATCTATCAGGGCTGAATCCCCAGCTCCACAGGAGGATAAAAAGTGAGTTTTTAGATCATTTGTTTTCCTTACAAGGACCATAGTTCAAATATCTGGACACAGGAAAGGAAACTCTTAGTCACCAGCTGGAGAATGCAGCCACTCCACCTCCAGTCAGCGGCTTTAGGCTCCGCCTCGTTACTGACCCCTCACATGAAAAACTCATTTAATCTTTTTCTTTTCACGGAGCAAAACAAGGAAGTTTAAAAACTCTTTATTTGCATTTCAGACACAGGTGAGTGGTGCACTTCAGGGTGCCTGGAGGCACAGTCTGTCGCCACTGCTGCTTCTTGTGCCACAAACCAACACGGCTGCCAGGAGCCGCAGGCCGCTCGCCCTCCCCTCCTCTCAGGCCTCACCTTCCCGCCTGGCGCCCTGGCGGCCCAGCCACTCTGCCAGCGTGATGCCAGCAGGAAACCACCGAGGTGCCAGGCGGCCTCCCGTGCTGGTGATCCACCTGCAAGTCCGGGCACCCTGCGGGCCAAACGTCCCAGGTGCGCCTGCCGAGAGGGGCCTGCTGACCTGTCGGGAGTTCACAGCGGGACAGGCCCAGCCTCCTGGTTGAACTAATGGTCGCCAACTTCAGGGACGAGTGCAAAATGGGGAGCTCGTGACCCTGGAAATGATTCTGTGGCTCTCGAGGTGCTGACTCACTAATGCTCACAGCAAACGCGCGGAGCATCCCTGCGCCAGTCGGGGGCTGACAGGTCCAGCGAGCTGCGGCCTGTGCAGAGCCTTCTCACCGCCTTGTCCTCACCCAACAGCCGCCCCGAGGGCTGGGACACGCACACCCCGGGATCCTGCTCTCACCCGAGCGAACCTGCTGGGCAGCGCCCTGCGGCCGAGTCGGGATTCTGCTTCCCAGCAAATTAAAACCACCACACAGCCAGGGAGGGGCCAGAAATGCCCACCCCACGTTTACTGGGGCAGGAATGAAAATTTCTATCCATGGTCTTTCTCTTAGGCCTGGATAATTAGTGTCCTTGTTAGAAGCAAGATCCTTGATTTCTGTAGGTTAAAAGGACCCATCACTGACAACATGTCCTTTTGGTGAAAGTAACGAGGGGCCCTTGAGGGGGGACAAGCGTCTCCGCAGGGAGCCTCAGCGGACTCCCTGCCAGCTAATGCGTGTCAAAGAGCCGAGAACCAAAGGCCACTTCAGTGCCAGCTCCTCCGAGCCTGCTGTGTGCCTGTGCGCACCACAGGTTACAGCTACAGGCACAGCGAGTGGCAGGTGCGTGGCGGACGCTGGGCGTGGAGACCATGCCGCAGCCGCTGGGCCCCCCAGTCCCGGAGGCCGAGCTTGCCTCGCTGACCTGAGACCCCGACTTCGCAGGCAGCACACCGGGGGCAGCCGACCTGCCTCCTCCCAGAGCAGCCTGTGCTCCTCACGAGCATGCTCACTCCACTAAGAAAGGAATAAATTAAACCGTCATATACACACGTTCCCCGAAGCCTGGCTCCTGAGGGCGTGCCCTCGTCTCGGAGAGAAGGGCTCCCAGCCATGGGCCGGGCAGCACAGCCTGTCCCACCCGCCCGCGCCTGACGCCCCGACCCCACGCAGAGGTGCTGCCAGCTGCGGACAGGCCGCTTCCCTGGGGGGCAGCAGGTCCCGAGCATGCGGCCGGTGCGGGCGGGCGGGCGGGCGGACGCTGGGCACGGGCAGAGCTGCGGGGAGGGGGAGGGGGAGGGGGAGGCGGAGCCCTGCGCGGCTCAGTGCAGAGGAGGGTGCCCGAAGACCACCCACACTGTGTCCACACCAGCTCCATCACAGCCCTTGCCCAGCTCATCACATGACGGAGGACACGCCCCAGGAGCCAGTGCCCCAGGGAATGGCCTGCGGCACAGCCAGGTGCCAGGTCAGAGGTGCGAAGACCAGGTCAGCACTGGGAAAGGGACGGCACCCCCGCCTCTGAGCAGCAGCAAGAGCCGCCCCTCCCAGGGCTGAACCCAGGCGGCCCCCGGGGTGGCGGGAGCTTCCAGTTCCCGAGGCAGAACCCCCGCTGCTGGGTCCCCCAGACACTGCATCTGCCCCTCCCTCTTAGGGGGGCACTGACAGTGTGGAGGGGAGGGGAGAGTGTGGGGAGAAAAGAATGTGGGGGAGGGAGGGGGGCTGAGGAGAGAGAGGTGGGAGTGGCCATGGGGAGGTGGAGGAGCTCTGTGGGTAATGACCTACCATGGGGACAGGGGGAGCCTTGCTGCAGGAGGAGGTGGGGGGGAGGAAGTGGAGAAGGGGGAGGAGGGGGAGGAGGAGGAGGGGGAAAAAGAAGAGGAGGAGGGGGGAGCAGGAGGTCGAAGAGGGGGAGGTGGAGGAGGTGGAGGAGGAGGGAGGGGAGAGGAGGAGGGAGGGGAGAGGAGAAGGAGGAGGGGAGAATGAGGGGAGGAGGAGGGGGAGGAGGAGGGGGAGGAGGAGGTGAAGGCGGAGGGGGAGGGGGAGGGGGAGGAGGAGGGAGGAGGGGCAGGGGGAGGAGGAGGAAAGGAGGGGAGGAGGGAGAGGAGAAGGAGGGGAGAAAGAGGGGGAAGAGGAAGAGGAGGGGGAAGGAGAGGGGGAGGGGGGAGGAAGAAGGGGGAAGTGGAGGGGGAGGAGGAGGAGGGGGTGGAGGGGAGAAGGGAGAGGAGGAGGAGGAGGGGAAGGAGGGTGAGGAAGAGGAGGGGGATGGGGAGGAGGAGGAGGTGGAGGGAAGGAGGGGAGGAGGGAGAGAAGAAGAAGGAGGGGGTGGGGGTAGAGGAGGAGGGGGGAAGAAAAGGAAGGGGGAGGAGAGAGAGGAGGAGGGAGAGGGGGAGAGGGTGGGGGAGGAAGAGGAGGAGGGGGAAGTGGAGGGGGAGGAAAAGGAGGAGAGGAGGGGGAGGAGGAGGAAGAAGAGGAGGTGGGGGAAGTGGAGGGGGAGGTGGAGGAGGGGAGTGGAGGGAAGGAGGGGAGGAGGGAGAGGAGGAGGAGGGGGAGGAGGAGTGTGAGGAAGACGAGGAGGGGGAAGTGCAGGGGAGAAAGAGGGGAGGGGGGAGGAGAAGAGGGGGGAGGAGGAGGGGGAGAAGGAGGGTGAGGAAGAAGAGGGGGAGGGGAGGAGGAGGAAGGGTGTGGGAGGGAGGAGGAGGAGGGAGAGGAGCTGCCCAGTGGTTACAGCTCCGCCCGCAGGGGCGGCAGCATGGCGCTCTGCCCTCTTCTCTCCGGAGAGGTGACCATGAATGAGCTGGGAGTGAAATGCCCGCAGCCTCTCAAGCGGCAAAGCCCTGGGCTCCGCTGAGGGAGTGCCCTGGCGGCAGCGGGCGGCTCCGCACCCGGTCAGCAGGGAAGACCCATCGCGGACACCAGGCTCCTGGCTGTGGCTCCGGAGGGGGTGCACTGAACGCGCTGGGGGGCGGGGGGGGCTGCCCGGGCTGAGCCCACGGGAAGGGACTCACTCACACACACTCACACACGGAGGCGCAGGCAGCTCGGAGTGGCGGAGAATGTACTTGAGGCCACACGGCCAGAGGCGCCTGGGGCTGCACAAGGCTCTCCGGGACAGGCCCGTGGAGACGAGCAGCTCTTCTCAGTAGCCAGACCCGTCCGGGAGCTCTCGGAGCCCCTGGCGGGCAGCGGAGCACCCGCGGCTCCCAGGCTGCGGGTGCTACTGCAGCGAGCCCGGGAGGGTGCTGAGCAGGCGGGCGGTCTCGGCGGCTGCGGGCGGCGAGCTGAGGGAGCCGGTCTGGTTCTGCTGCTCGGCTCGGAGCGGGGGCGGCACCGAGGAGCTCTTGATGTGGAGGACCCTGGTGTCCATCACTTGGCAGTCGATCTGCATCATCACCTCGTAGTCCTGCCCGTTGATGACGTTCTCTGTGGAGGAAGCAGCAGGTGAGCTGGCCCTGGCGCCGGCCCAGTGACACAAAGGAGCCCGCACCCCGCCCAGGCCCAGCGCCCCGGCCAGCGAGCAGCAGCCCTGGGCTGGGGCTGCATGGAATGGCCTGGCTGGGGGACAAGCAATGTCCAGCGGGGACTGAAGGGACTTGTAGGGAAAAGGCAGGCTCGTTGCAGAAGGAAACAAAAAGCCACACACAGCCACATCTGCACGTGTGGGGAGACCACTTATCAGGGGCCACTGCAGCGGACACTGCCACGGCCACGCTCACTTCCAGCGGGCCGAAGCCCTCCTTTCAGGGAAGGCCACTTTCTAACTGCGGTGCACGACATGCGGCAGCAGCCCTGTGAGGGTCACAGACAGCGCCTCCCGCCCACTGGCCGGCTGCAGTGAGCCCGAGGGGCTGTCAGCGTGAAACGCGCTGGGCAGCCACGTGGACCCTCATCTGCATTTCCATCGGTGAATCCGGAGCTGGGGGCGGCCTCATCCTGCGAGGCCCAGCAGGGGACACGACGGAAGGTGAGGTGGAACTCGCTCTCCTGTCACCTCCCTTTCCTGGGGCTGCTGCGAGCGCCACGCGTCAGCGGGAAGAAAGCGGGGTCTGCCGGGCGCCAGCTGGGGCGCCTGGGACCGGGCGCTCGGGGAGGCCTGTGTGCGGCTTTGGGAGCCCATGCTCCAAGCTGCAGGTGCACTTCTGAGACGCCCCGTCATCTCAGGGAGCGCACCCCCCAAATGTTAAAAACTAATCAGATCTCATCATCCATAACTAGGTCTTGAGCAGATGCTCCAGTTTAAAGCTGACAGAGACATCGCTCCTCCACTTTTATGGGTTGGTTATCTGTTCCAATCCTTACAACAATCTCAGGCTGACGAGTTCCCAGCCTCGCACAGCCTCTCGTTAGTCAGAGCAACTCCTGCCCGGGCTCCGCTGGCAGCTCCTCCGGCCGAGCAGGCCTTTCCTCTCCGGAGAACGCAGCCAGATGCTGTGAGGGAGCTGTTCCCTAGCAACGTGTTTCTTCCCCAAAAGGAGGCAAAAGGAAGACAAGCTGCCGATGTGCTTGTAGTCACTTAATTCAGACACCACACAGTCAATTTCCAGACACCACACAGTCATCTTTTAGAACCAGGGCCCCTCCCATTTATTCCATTTCATTCTCACCTTTTGTAATCCTCACCCGAGGATATTTCTCCATTGATTCTTAGAGAGTGGAAGGGAGTGGGAAAGACACAGAGAGAGAGAGACATCGATGTGAAAGAGACACATCAACTGGTTGCCTCCCTCATGCACCCTGACCAGGGCCAGAGATGGAGCCTGCAATGGAGGTCTGTGCCTTTGACTGACATTGAACCCAGGACCCTTCAGTCCATGGGCCAACACTGAACCAAACCCACTAGGGTGTCCCTACCATTTTAGAAAAACTAAAGTGTGTGCGCATGTGCATGTGCATGTGTATGTGTATGTGCGCACGCACACTGGACACAGGCGACCCGACGAGGGAAGGCACATGGATTAGAGGGGTGCCACACTAATTTTACTGCTTCCCTGGATGACCTCAGGGCCCAGACGACAGCCTAAGAGCCGGGGCACGTCCAGGCCTGCAGAAGTCACTGGAGTGGTGTGCCCGCTGCGGTGTGAACGGGCGACCAGAGTTCCTGAGCGCCTTAAGTATCAAGAGCTGGAGGACTGGGACAAGAGCTCAGATGCTCTGAGGAAATGAAAACTGCAACTGATTCCAAAGCCAGGAGTCCCAGCCGTGGCCGCTGGCCAGGAGGCGGCTGGGCTGGGCCAGTGGCTGCTGGGAGACAGGCTCTGTGCTCAGCTCCGTTCTGAAGGCGCACGCAGGGCCAAGGCAGCAGGTGGCGTTAGTGGAAGAGAGCACGTGTCCGCCTTGAGCTGAGTCCAGGAGCCCCTTCTGAATGACAAGTGGCCCCTTCAGGCCGTCCGAGGCCCAGTCAACCAGCACTTCAGGTGCAGCTGCGGGGCAGGGCAGGGCTCAGGCCTGCTGCGGGATCTGAGCGACGGGTGTGCCAGCTGCACCCCTGCACAGGCGGGCGGACCAGCTCCTTGCAGCCCTTCCTTCCTCAAAGGCTCTGGCCACACTGACACCGCCAGGCTGCAGGACGGCATTTCCGAGGGCTGCTCTGGCCTGGGCCTGAGGGGGAGCAGACGGCGCAGAACAGCGCTGACAAGGATGAGGACCTCAGCTCTGGGGCTCAGACAGGAGGGCGGGCCCGGCATGGGCGCCCCAACAACCAGAGAAAACACCAACGCTCCAGGCTCTGGCGGGCGTGTGGGGTCCGGGGAGACTGGCCGTTCTGTGGCTGCTTGGGAACAACGGGAGCAGAAGGAAGAGAACGGAGTGAAGGGAGAGGCTGACTCGGCCCCTCTCCTGAACGGTGAGCCCCCCAGTGAGCAGGGCGTCCCTGAGTCTGGAGAGGAGCGCCGCTCGGAAGCCTCAGGCAACTGGAAGGGTGGGTGTGTGAGCCGAGGGCACGGGGGCGCCCACCCGAGGTGGGTGGCGTGGGTGGCGGGGGTGCCCACCCGTACACCGTGCTGAGATGACCACACGTCCAGGGCCCTGACCACAGCAGAGCTAACACGCAGGCTCACGGCGGTTCTGCGGGAAGTGACAAGGCTTCCTGTGTTTGCAGAGAAGCACATCGGACCAACAGGGCCCCGGGCTGAGCCCCGCAAGAGGCCGCGCTCTGTGCGGCAGGCCGGGACGGGCAGTGACCAGCAGAGGGGTCTGTGCCCAAGCCCAGCGGGTGTGTGGGGGAAATGGAAAAACAAGACCCCAAAAGGGTAGGGAAGGGGGACAAAGCGGCAGGACCGACAGGAGGTTGGGCCCAGGGACTTCTCTCCAGGGAAGAGCCCTGTGAACATTCCGGCCCATTTCAAGTGCCACCTCCGAGACCCTGCCTGGGAGCCAGCGGTCTCTTCCCTGTCACCACACACACCGTGCCGCTCCCGGCTCCGCTCCCGAGAGCTGGGCTCCTTGAGGAAACAGCTGGCATCGCTTGTGTAGAACGGAACCTCCCCATCAGCCAGGAAGAACGTGAGCAAGTGAGTCATGCTGCTCGCGGCAACGGAACCTTCTGGAGACACCGGGAGCTCCTAGCAACGAGCACTCTACTCTGCCTCTGCCAGAGGAATTACAGATGGGGCCGCCCTGACGGGGAGGCGGGCGGAGGTGTCACCCGTGTCCCTGTGAGCCCCACCGGGCTGCTCCCTGCTGTCAGCGAGCTCCGCCATTGGAAGGAAGACGGGTAGTGGCCTCACACAGGAGTGCGGCCAAGCCCACGGGAAACCGCCAGCCTGGAGCTTTGGCCGGGCTCGAGCCCAGACATGGCCAGCTTTCCTGCTTCTCGTCAGCAGGCCACTGGACCTGGACCATGGGAACGGGACCAGCATTCAGAGGCATTTCCCACCAGGCCCACCACCCGCCAGCAGAGGCGGCGGGACCTGGGTGTGAGCGCGCGGGGCCAGAGCCCTTCCTCCGGGCAGCAGCGCTCCACTGCGACCCGCCCACGTGTGCGCATCACACCTCGGAGGGTCAGGAAGGCCTTCTCGCCCTGGCGGGGGCTCAGCTAGCTGGGCGTCGCCCGTGCACCAGAAGGTGGAGGTTCAATTCCCAGTCAGGGTCATACCAGGGTTGCAGGTTCAATCCCTGGTGGGCGTGCTGCACGCTCACATCGATGCTTCTCTCCCTCTCCCTTCCTCTCTCTGCAGATCTCTGCCTTCATGCTCAGAAGGCTCAGCTTCCCACAGGAATCGCAGACCAGAGTTCCAGACCACAGGAGCCTCACAGGCTCCCACAGAAAGCCTCACGTCCTTCTTACTCATAAAGCCAAGCCCGATGTTCTGCAGGCATCACACAGGACAGGCTGCTCAGAAAGCTCGCTCGGATGCTGGAAACCACTGTCCACAGGGTAAGACGACGTGACGGCTGGCGCTGCAAGTTCACGAAGAGCCTGGCCTGGTGGGAGTTGGAGGCTGTTTGTGCAGCACCTTTCCCTCAGGAAGAGCCTCTCCCTCCATGGCCACAAGGCGGCCCAGGCCCAGGGCAGGGCCCAGGAGCTGCCTCTGACCCGATGCCCTCCCGGGCTGCACGCACAGACAGCAGGACCTCCGTCTGCTGGGCAGAGGCAGCGTGCACCCGCTGAGCAGCTACGAACAAGGCCATGGCCCTGTGGCGAGGCCGGGACGCTGGCCTCTGCTGGGAGCGTCCTGGGTGCCGCTGGGAACTGAGCCTGAGCCGGGCGTCAGAGAAGGCGCTGTCCCGGCGCAGGCTCCTCCGCCGTCACTCCCCCCTCACACAGTGCCCACGAGCTGCCGCACCCGTGGCCCCCGGCTGGCATGGAGCATGACCCAGCCCAGTGGGCAGAAGTGAACACAGTAGCCAGTGATATGTGGGTGCCACAGACCAAGGACGAGCTGAAGCTGGAGCAGAGGGAAGGGGGCTGGAGGGGCCTCAGAAAGAGGACTGGCAGGAAGGTGGTCTCTGGTGAGAAGGAGGCCTGAGGGAGCCAGTGTGCAGGTGGGGCACGCCAGCCGAGTCAGAGAAGAGCACAGACCTGCCATGACCTCAGGCCTTGGGGCGTGGGGGGCCAGGCCCTGTGTGTGCGAGAAGCTGCCACTGCACGGCTCACAGTGACCAGACCAGTGGGGGGACAGCAACGGGAACAGTGGATGGATGTGTTTGTCCTGACGACGTGACCCAGAGCCTGAGTCCCATGATTCAATGTGCAAAGAAAGCAGAACAGAAGAAAGGGCGGCGGGACTATGGGAGCCTGGGAAGCATGGATAGAGGCCCCGTGAGCCTGAGCAGCCGGGCACGGCCGTTTCCTCTCCCGCCAGTGCGGGGCCAGCAGCTCCTCCGTGAGAACCCCACCCTGTGGAGCCACCACAGAGGACCCATGAGGGCAGGAGGCAGCTCGCACGCTGGAGGCAGCTCGCACGTGGAGGCAGCTCGCACCC